TACTTCCACCCATATTGACAAAGATTGGAATCTTTGTAATTTTGTTTTGCAAACCAGGATGATGCCAGAATCTCATACAGGTACATTGGAAATTATGAAAAATAAATGATTTGACTATTATTGTTTCAATTTGCTGAAATATGAGGGCAATTGAATGAATTGATTCTAAATTAAATATTTATTTAATTAATCAGTACATGTATATTTTTATTGGTTTAATTCTTTGAAAAAATAATTTTAAAAAATATTTGTCCTGATTGTAGGAGAAAATGTTGCAGAGGTTTTGAGAAACGCTGTGAAGGAATTGAAATTGCCCACTTCTCATGGATTTCCACCAGTTGTCTCTGACAATGCTGCCAATATGATGAAAGCAGGTGAACTCCTCGTAAACGTTCACATTAACTGTTACGCACATACGTTAAATTTAGCTTGTCAAAAATGCCTTGCAGTTAAGAAACTGGAAAATATTCTAGCCAAAATTAGAAGAATTGTAACCTTTTTTCACAGAAGCAACATTGCAGCTGCTTTGCTCAAGAGTACAGCTGAAAGTTTATCACTGCCTCACCACAAATTAATAATGGACGTCCGCACAAGATGGAATAGTGCCTACGATATGATCTCACGATTTCTCGAAATGCAGGTAGCAATATTTGCTACCTTGAAATCAAAGGAGTTAGGAAAAGAAAGAGAAGCAGAATTAAAGTCTTTCCATGATGATGACTTTATTGTGGCAGAGGAAGTGGTCCAGGTGTTAAAGCCATTTAGGATATAACAACACTCCTGTGTTCAGAAAAATCTCTCACTTTGTCCATTATCTTGCCACTTCACAATAAACTTCTGGACAAGCTTCGTGAACACAATGATGATACCCCAACAGTCCGCAGCATGAAAAATATTATGTTTAAAGACTTGAAAGAAAGATATAATCGGATTGAACACACTCTACGCATTGTTTCTGCTTTGGATCCGCGGTTCAAGATGCTTCCATTTTTATCAGAAAATGACAGATCAGCGGTGTACTCTGATATTGTTTTAGAAGTCTGTCGAGTACAGAGTATAATAATAATAATAATAATAATAATAATAATAATACTTTATTTAAAGAAGGTAGCCCGATTAGTGCACGCACTATTCTTCCCCGGGGCCTTCTGTAGACAAAAATCAATATACATACATATATAAATATACACAATCAAAAAAATAATCATAAGTTATTTCGACATTGTTTTACAAATATTCTGACTTGATGTTTGAAAGCATTCAGTGTTTGAGACATTTTTATATGTACAGGTAAATTTTCCATAAGATAGCACCAGAGTATTGAAAGGAGTTCTCAAAGAGCTTACAGTTACGAGCTGGTACACACAAGTCTAAATTAGATTCTGATCGAAGATTGTATTGATTGTTACACTGGAAGTTAAACATACTATTTAAATAAGTAGGGTGAGCGTTGAACAATGATTTATATAACAAAACATATTTATTTACAATAAGTTGCTCATACACTGTGAGCCAATCTAGCTTCTCAAAGAGAGGTTGTGAGGGCGCATCAGGAGGAGCATCTAAAATACATCTTGCAGCTCGTTTTTGAAGCTTATATACTCTGTCAAGATTTGAGTTAGATGTATTACCCCAAATAGTTAGACAATAATCAATTGAAGGCATAATATATGCATTGTAAAACAGCTTGCGTGTTTGAATAGGAAGAAACTTTTTAATTCTACGGAGGGCAGGAATTTTACGTGACAGTGTTTTACAAACATGGTCAATATGTACATTGTATTGTAAAGAATTATCTAAATAAACTCCAAGAATTTTTTCATTTGATACAATATCAAGCTTTTTGTTTGATACAGATAGAATAATTTCATGCTCAGAAAAAATTGATCTCTTTTGATGCGTACCAACTAACATGCATTTGGTTTTTGTAGAATTTAGAACCATTTGATTTTGAGAACACCATTTTTCTATAAAAGCTATATCCGTTGATAATGTATCTACAGTAGTTTGACAATCTTTACTTGATGCATGTAAAGTGGCATCATCTGCAAATAATTCTAATTTGGATTTTGAAATAGTGAAAAGAGAGAAAGAAGAGAAAGATGCTGAATTAGATGATGTTGAAGTCCTGAATGAGCCACCCCTCCCCTCACTGTCTTCAGATTCTCCAGCTGTTAACCCTTTCAAAAGAAGAGTCAAAGCAGAAGGTTCTTCCTCTACTTGTGGTGATTCTATGGAATCTGTGCTCCACAGCTTTCTTGGTGATGTATACATTACTGATGTTGAGCCTCCAAAATCACCAAGTACGATTGCTGAGCAGCAGGTGAATGAATACAGAAGTGCCCGAGCAATACCTCTTCAGGAAAATCCTCTTTCTTGGTGGAAAGAAAATGAATTTAAATTCCCACTTATTGCTTAACTTGCTAGAGCATACCTTTGCATTCCTGCCACAAGTGTCCCATCGGAAAGAGTTTTTTCTACGGCGGGAGATATATTAAATGCCCAGAGGGCACGTCTAAAGCCTAAACATGTTGACAATTTACTTTTCTTAAAAAAAACATGCCCTAAACTGAAAAAAACCAAATATAATTGTTATTGAGTATTGACTTTAAAGTGATCATTTTTTTTCTTTTTTTACAAACCAGAAAGAAAAGACTGTATCTATTTGTGTTTGAATTGTTAATTAGAATTTTATTTTCTTGTTATTTGTTATTTTTGTTCTTTTTTATTTTTAAGTTTTTAATGAAAACACATTAAATACATTATAAAATGATTGATTTTTCATTTATTCACAACAACAATGAAAAAAAAATAGGAATAATAATCAATAATTCCATATAAATCAAAGAAATAGTGTGCTTATAAATATCACGATATATCGCGATAATATCTTGATACGAAATTTTTGGCGATACCCATCCCTAGTAGTTACCAATCCATTATCATGTTAACCAGAACTGGTCTTCTTTGTTATTATATTCAAGAAATAACTGTTGGGCTACAAATTAATTATAATGATTGTATATACCCCAAAACTTTGACTGCAATTGCACAAAAAAAAACATCTTCAAGAGTAATTTTTTTAATGAATTGTTTTCAGATCAGATGGCCCCGTGGGGATCCGGGTTAGAATAGGTCCTCAGTACCCCCTTGCTTGTCGTAAAAGGAGACTAAATGGGGCGGTCCTTCGGATGAGACCGTATAAACCGAGGCCCCGTGTCACAGCAGGTGTGGCACGATAAAGATCCCTCCCTGCTCAAAGGCCGTAAGTGCCGAGCATAGGCCTAAACTTGCAGCCCTTCACCGGCAATGGTGACGTCTCCAAATCAGTGAAATATTCTGGAGAGGGACGTTAAACAGTATACAATCAATCAGATCAGATGAGTTTAATGTTGAAAATTATCACAGCATCAGATGTAGGGATTTAGGTACACATTGTAAAGTCTAGAAATTATTTATTTTTTTGTTCAATCTTTCAAATTACAATTAGAGAAAATCTAAAAAATGTTGTAAAAGGTGAAAAGAACGGCATCTTACCATCCACAATGATCCAAACATGATTAATTTTATTATCTGTTACATAAAAATTTTTAAAAAGGGAAATGTTGTTTTAATTGCATATTTTAAAGAAAAATAATGACTGTTCATTTAAAATCACTATAAAACTTGCTTGTAAAAATACCACGATATTACTGTGATATTTCTTGGGGGGGGGTCGTTATATATCGGGATACTTAATTTTAAGCGATACCCATTCCTAAATTCAGATGTGCACATCCTGGGAAAAATGTTAATTTAAGAAAATAAAAAGTTTGATTTGGTAGCTAAATAAAGCTACCTCAGGTAGGTAAATAAAGCTATGAAGGTAACTTAAGCTACGTAGGCTAGTTAGATCTTGTACCAGGCTGTTTACCTTTTATACAATATTCTATTTTGTTGATAAATTAACCAATACAGAATACTCACGCGCTTCAATTTGCGTGGGGTGATTATGGACTAATTCAAGCATTTTAAACCAATATCTCAATGAAATGAATATAAATGAGACTAAATTGATTTAAGTGTACATGAATTAATCCTTTCGACAGACTGCAAAAAGGCCAGGTACTAGCTTCTCCTTCTCGAGTTCTTGCATCTCTGTTGCAACAATGCATTTACAGAATGTATATTTCTTACTAGGCCGGTTCGATTTGCACCTTCCAGAAGAAGAAAATATCATATTTTAAATTCCGGTTTCTATTGTTAAATCAAACAGTCATCTTCTGAATCAATATGGCGTCGAAACGAACTTTACTTAGCGCTGCAATAATTATTATTACTAAAAATGAAGATGTCGACATCATGATTGCAGATGAGGATTTTTCATTTGTCACACTATGTGCAGCTTGCAATAATATGTAAGGGGCAGTTATCGAGTTTTTTTTGGACACTGTATGATACTTTATTCACATATTATCGTTACTACTTTTGTTTTTATTAAGGTTTAATTTTAAAAACACATGTTATGAGATAACATACGCAATATTATGAATCATTTGTCTGAACATTATCTTTATATCTGATTTGAATTAAAAATTATTCCACATTATATTATATGACCTATCTGTCACCATAGCACCTAGAGTTAAACTAATTCTGTTGTATCACATGAATTCCCTAAAAAATATTTCATGCTATTCAACTGAATTTAACAACAAACCGATATGCAAGTATATTTTTAAGCGGTTAGCTAGCTAACCGCTTTATGGCATGGGCTCCAAAAAACCGGAAACTTCCATAAGGCGCTACCTATCGACATCGCTTATGGCACGTAACCTTATCCTTCTGCAACCAAAACCGGAAATTTCCACAAGGCGCTACCTATCGACAACGGTAACTTCAGCAAAGCGCTTCCTATGATTTGTATACTGCTGGCGTAATACGCCCCCTGGTGAGAGGTTGACAATATGCTGTGTATGAAGAGTGGCTATTATAACGATTATATCGAATTCTTATTTAAGTATTTACCAAAGCATTGACAATACTTAGAACAATAACTTCAAAGAACTGAGAATTTGGTCCTTATTACATGTACATCGTGCGATCGCGATTTATAGCAACTGTTAGTTTATTTTTGAAAGTTGAACGATACGGTTAATTATACAGCAGGTTGAAGGTTATTACAGACTGCAAAAACATCAGCAAATCTCTTGATCGAGTTTGATTTTCCTTGCCAAAGTATTAAGAAACACCATTTATTAAGTTAGTAATACCTGAAAAACGCTGTTATAAAAACACCGAATACATCTGTAAGGTTTACACTTTTTGTAACGTTTTTATGGAAACAATAGGATTACCTCCACAATGAAACGTTTGTTTTCTTCTCTTTTCTTCTCTGTCTAATAAACAGATTATAAAAGCTCTGCTTCCAGGGGTAAATTCTCTTCCCCGTCTTTGATAATTTATTACAAACGATCATAAGGGATTACTTACTTTTAGTTTTGAAAAAAAATAATGGGGCACTTAAAGTAGTAAAACTAATTTTGAAAAAAAAAATGGATAAATATATATTAATTTTAATCGGCATTGTGATCCTCTTCTAAAAATCAACCGACATTATTATTCACAGAAGAATGAGGTATGAAAAATCTTGGCAATTAGCAAAAATTTAAAATATATACTAATGCTTATTTATAAGTTTTGAAAATTTGATCAATTCCTAGGGAACGTATTATTAGCTGTGAAAATACTTTTTAAATTTGAATTAGTCCAATTTGTCGATTATTATTTTGA